GGGAGATCATTTACATATACCAGAAACAGTATAGGTCCAAGGACTGACCCCTGCGGGACTCCACTTGTGACGTCTCGCCAATCTGAGACCTCACCCCTCACACAGACTCGTTGTCTCCTGTTGCTTAGGTATTCCTCTATCCACCGGAGTACCTTCCCTCTCACTCCAGCCTGCATCTCCAACTTTCGCACTAGCCTCTTGTGTGGCACTGTATCAAAGGCTTTCTGACAATCCAAAAATATGCAGTCTGCCCACCCTTAATATGATATGCAGTCTGCCCTGCCCTGTGTGTGTGTGTGTGTGTGTGTGTGTGTGTGTGTGTGTGTGTGTGTGTGTGTGTGTGTGTGCTGTCTTCTTTGATGTCCAAAGGGTTTGGAAAGGATGGGGAGATGAAATTCTGGAAGAGGCTGCGTTCTGTATATTCCCGATTGCTACAATCTCAGTGATTTCACTTTTAATTTCTGGTACAATAAGGCAATCCATACGAACAATTGTGTGCGTTACTGTGTATAATAGACTATAAGAATAACAACAAACTAGTTTTAATATACGAGAATGCCTGACCGTCTAACGTTGGAGACGCTTGGGCCTAGCCTCACCCAACTTTGCAGGCGAATGGTCTGGGGTACAGGACGGACGTAAGCTCGTTTAGGTAGGCCTAAGTTAAATTCTTTTAAGCAAAAATAGCATTTCTACAGACTCATATGCTATTTTCATGGAGTCAGGTGTGAGACATTTGGCGTGAACATATTAATATATTTTCTGAGAGACCCGGGCGGTTGTTTCGGCACTTCTTAATAATACATTTTCTGAGCTGAGGGGAAGCACAATGGGAGGGACCAAGGGGATGGGGACGAAGGGGTCAAGGGGGAGATTTGGGAAAGAGGGGGAAGAGACCCGGGTGCAGCCGGGGAATTTATAAATATATATATATATATATATATATATATATATATATATATATATATATATATATATATATATATATATATATACCTTGCCTGTAGCTACAGCCGCAGTGTGGAGGAGTCAGAGTGTGGTAGGATAAAGGACAAGTAACAATTGACTTGCTCGCGTGAGATGGTCAATTAGCCCTTGTGGTTGCTTAGGAACATTAAACGTTAAGAGGTCAGTGCTTCCCAGGATACCGTGGGATCGTACGTGGGCGTGGTAGCTGGGTGGCCTGCAGGGCGTGGTCCGGGTTCGATCCCCGGCGGAGGCGGAAATAAATGAACAGAGTTTGTTCCCGTGGATGCTGCATGGGTGCTTACGTCACGTGTGGCGTGGATGCAGCATGGGGATGCTTCTCCCACTTGAAATGGTGTTGGCAGTGGTACACCTGGCGAGATGTAACTCTTCTGGCAAGTACTGCGGGCGCGGGCGCGGACACCCTCCATTTTGGAGCCTACCTTCCACCACCCTAAAAATAGCAGGGTGAGTCTGAGGAAAGATTGTGGAGGAGTAGAGTGGGAGGGGGGGGGGGGGGCAGCATCACCAACACTCCTTCTGTCGCCTGTGACTGTTTTTTTCCTGTGACTGTCTCACCAGTGCCTCGTGGATCACCCAGTCTCTTCACTGATGGAGCTGACTGCACCGACAGTCTTCCCGCCTCTCCGCCGTTATTATGCTTAGTTATTAGTCTATTCTTATTATCCTTCAAGCCGGATTTTTTTTTTCACTTTATCAAGCTACAAACCTGAACCCATGTGCCACTGTAACCGTCTCCACCACCGCCCACGGGATGGGTATGAGGTGCATAATAAATGACTAACTGCATAGCTTACAGTCGTTAAAACTGACAGCAATAATGTTCTGTCGTTAAAAAGCTTTGTATAACTGTTAAACGCTTCATCAATATGTTGCAGCCGATCAAACTATTCCCTATATAAAGTGCAGTCGCTAAAACCGTTAAATGGATTAAGTACAGCCACTAAATTCCGTTGGAAGAGTTGAATGAGGGCTTTACTTACCATAAGACCCGGCGCCAAGCACCAATCCACCCACCCACCTATAGACCTCCGGGTGCTAGCTAGCACTCTGCCATGGCTGTATACAATGATTGAAAGCGTCATGTGTTAACCATTTGCATACTGTGCTTCTTTGATATACTTTTACTGTCAACCGAGATCAATCATTGTATCTGGTGACGCCTGAATCTTAGTCTTACTATCATTTTAGGATGATGGGCTGGAGTGTTTAGTGTGGAGGTGGGTGTGGGAGTTGACTGTGGGCGTGGGTGTTGACTGTGGGTGTGTGCTGTGACAGCTACTGATTAGCGTGTTGACAGGTAAGGAGGATCTAGTGAAGAGTGATGTAGTGATTGATCTATAATTTATCGATTTATCAGTATCTATATCTCGGTATAATTTATGGGAACAATGGGATAGTCATTATCCTAAAATGTAATGTATTAAACATACAGAACTTCTATTCTACATTTTCACTTCGACCTGAAATTTTGTGTTAAATATATGTAGGGTGAAGCGTTGAGAAGTGTTAACGGAAGAGCCAGGATGTGCATAGCTGTGGCTGGTGTCGTGGGATAGTATATACATACCTGTTCTACCCTCGCCCACCAATCATCTTGGCTTACTGATCCCACTCCAATCACTATTGGGGGACTGATCCAGATATATGTGGCAGTCAACTCCTTGGAAGAGGGCACGGGAGACATCTCCCGTCACGCAGGGTGCAGTCGCACCTCCACAGATCTCCAGTATCATCTATTGATACTGGAAATGGCTAAAAAGGGCCACCACTTATGGGCTATTCATGCCCAAGCCACCTTTTGGGTGGCTTAATCTTCTCTCTCTCTCTCTCTCTTTGAAGAGGGATTTTTCAGGGGGAGGAAGAGGGTGGAGGGGATTTTGATCCAACAGCCGGAAGAGAAGGTGAATGTTGCTTGTGAATTGGCGCCAAAATCTATGTACCTAACCTGAAGGTAGGGCGGGTGTTGTGGTGGCTCTAGTGACCTTGTTGTTGCTGCGTCGGTGAAAATATTTATCCCAGCGGTATTCTTACTATTTGAAGTAGAGGCCAAAATTACCAGGACATTGAGGAACCTATCAGTTCCTCTTGGTTATCTGTGCGGAACCTGTCAATTCCGATTCGTGATCTGTGCGGAACCTGTCAATTCCTCTTCGTGATCTGTGAGGAACCTGTCAATTCCTCTTCGAGATCTGTGCGGAGTCGACCCCGTGACCCCGTCTACATACGCTACGCTCGCTGTGGATTTTTATTTGTACTGATTGATTTATTTATATACAGGAGTTCTTACATTCTTATACAGTCACTAGCACGCATAGCGTTTCGGCCAAGTCCTTAATCCTAATTTCCCTCCGGAATACGACCCGCCAAATCGTTTAACAACCAGGTCCCCATTCATTATATGGATATAATGATGACCCTGCCCCCAAGCTACGCTCTCTGGGGTTAAATACGGGTTGCAGTGTATCTTGCGAAAGCTAAATTTAATTCCGATGAACGAAGTCACACAATTAGTTGAAATACATCCGGAGGAAGTGACTGTTTCTCAGTGTATAATACTTACCGTATAGTACATAGGAAATAAGATGTCGAGGACTGGGCCGTAGCGGTTTTCTTAGCTAAGATAGTAACTGGTGGTTAGCAAATGTCAAAGGACAGTTATTATGAAACCACAGCAGGTAACATTTGTATTTCCAGGCAATCCTTAATAGATTGAGTTAGAATTATAATTGGTATTGATGATGGACAAAGGTGAGACAGTAGCTGGTAGAAGTTTAACCTCCTAGAGTAGTGTTACATGTTTACGGATTTGTGCTTGCAAGAAAAACAATATAAATTATTTTAAAATTGCTTTGTAAATGTTGCCAGTAATTTGAAAGAGGTGCAATGAGTATGAAGTTGTGGGGGTTGTGTGTTGTAGAGTGTCTGGTTGTGTTGGCTCGCTCTCACGGGATGATACGGAATATTAAAATGTGCGGAATATTAAAATGTGCCAACCCAAGACACCCACCTAACCCGACTAACCAACGCATTTAAAATGTGCATGTTTGTAAGCTGTTGTTTTTCATAGTACCCTGTATTTTGTCTGATGGGGATCATACTGTAGAAAATACTGTGTATTATTTGCACCCTATCTTCAGAGGGTATGTATCTTCCTGGTTATCATTTCAAAATGCAGCACATAATTAGTACTTTTATGTACATTTATCCTTGGTTAAGTTAGGTGTATTAAATTTAAAACGTGTGACATGTGAAATTCTAGCCTACTTGAGTATCCCCTAGAATTTTACATTAAAGAAAACTTTTGCCTTAGGGATTATCAAAGAAAACTAGTTTGCCAGAAAGTTAGTCTACTTTAAACCTACGATACACACTAAAATGTAATTATAACTTGAGAATAATCTCTATATAGAACAAAGGTTCACTTGCCGGTTTCCCAAGAGAATATTACTTGAACCTTAATAAGCCTTCACACGCACTTAAAGCCTCTCACCAGTTGAGAGGCGGGACCAAAGAGCCAAAGCTCAAGCACAAATAGGCCAGTACAGCATCACAAATATCTAGATAAATATACAAGTTGTTTAACCAGGGGTTAAACACTTTATTCAGTGCCATTCAGACACTAGTCTGAGGACAGGTTGCATTGACTCTAGTACTGTTCGGTAAATTCTCCCCTGGAAACAACAGTTCCATCAGTCATTGCTCTGCCTGGAGAAATAAACCTACGAATTACGCACGGCCCTTGTGAATTTGGATGATTTAGATATGGAGTTTATTTCATTTAATTCACCGCACATATTGCTAATTAAAAACACAGGAATGTAACAGTAATGACATCTAATCATATAACAAGTGAACAAGAGCGAGGATAAAAAACAGTAGTTTACCGCTCAAAACAAGGGACGCGTTTCTCCAGACAAACATAAGAATAAGTAGTGTCCTTTTGTCAAGTGGTTGTGACGACCTTGACAAGGACAAGAACAAGTACTGTGATGCGGAGATGTTATAGAGTGACCAATGTGAGAGTGATGAGATAATACAAGGAGCGCCGCCCACTGCTCTGGGTGATGAGGGTGGCCCTGACGTCTCCTTGCCTCACAGTGTGTCGGCCACTCCGCTAGGGGAAGGACGTGTGTACTAGCCCACCAGTCATCACGTCGCTTCTCACACAAGTTAGAATTATTTTTTTTTTTTTTTTACCGTTTGATATTTGTATACATGCGTGCCAGTGAGGGTTTTTTTCTTTCTTATTTCGTGACTTTGTGTTTAGAAAGAAATTTGTACCTGGTTGCTCGAAGAAGGTGATTAGCTGTTCTTTTAGGGCAGGTACAGGACTGTTCTTGTGTGAATATGGAAAGAATTTTCCGAGATCTCTCGCGGTATCGCAGTTTACTAAATTTTGCATTCCTAAAGTAGGTTCGTGCTAAACCTATATAGTTTAACTTTGTAAAATATTGCTTATGAACTGATTAATTGGAAATACTGGAGTTGTTCATGCGAAGTCACTTAATTGGCAGAGATTGTTTCAAATATGTTGAGTGCGTGACACGCCCAAGATACCATTTAGGCCAGGGGCACCTTAGTGCCACGAGTTTCAAATATTTTACGCTGGACAAGGCGGCTCGCATTTAGCGTCTAACTCCTATAATCTTCGAACATGCCAACGCTACATATGGTGTAGTTTTGATGTCCAAGAATTAAAAACATAATAAAACTACCAATCTTATAACTTGATTGCTAAAGTTTCTCTTTGGCACAGTTGACAAATGTCTAGTTTTGGAGCATCGGCCCATTCAGACCCTTTTAGTTGATAAAATGTAGAGCACATTTGACTGAGGGAAACTGAGTGTTGGTAACGGGTACTACGGCGGCTGGGATGGTAGGGCGCTGGAGCGTGCCCATAATAGCTGCAAGAATGAGGAATATGCGTGTGGGTGGGTGCCAGCACTGGCGGGGTTGTAAGGCCGCGCTGCCCTATACTACAGAATGAGAAGTTATAACCTTTAAAAATACTTTGCATAATTTGCAATGGGTGAAAAGTTAGCTGGTGTTCTTAATATTTTGGATGTGAAGTTCGTATAACATAAGCTTACTCTTAATGAAGATATGTTTGTTCTTCCTGGCACTACAAAATCTGACTATAACAATCTGTTAATTTTTAGTAGTAAACAAGGGGAAGGTGGTAAAGTTCGTTTCCCTGTAAACTTCTCAAAACTAGCCCCATGTTTAATGACTTGCATAAACAAATCAATGCTTAAAGATCAATTATTGGGAACAGACAGCCTGGCTACTTTGTTCCCCCATATCCCCATGACAAATTGCCAAGTTTCTTGCGCTGCAACCCACACTTCCCAACTCTCGGGATCCTATGGAAGTATTTCTGTTATGAAAGTAACAATGTCTTCCCCCGGGGATTGTTCAGCCGAACTATCATGCTTAGCGTAAATGTGGACACGCCTGGTTCAGTCTATTGTGAACACCCTATTACTATTAGGGAGAACCTCGAAGATGTAGATATTTCATCTTTCAATAGTACGTAATGTTGTTATAAGAAGGAAGAAGCCATGTATAGATTGGGCAGCCCATCCTCCTATTTTGGTAGTACTTATGGTAACGATGAGGACCATAGTACATGTACAGACGTAAAACAAATTAGTAAGTAGAAATCGGCACTATAGAGTTGAACGTCAAAACTTTTTTTTTTTTTACCTAGTTTTCAAAGACTAACTAAACATTCCTAGGTTTAATACAGTATACGAGACCTAATAATTCCTAGTGTGCTATACTAGGAATATTTGTTCTTGGCTTCATTTTTGTCTACTATTAGTTTTTTTTATAGTCGGAGCTCTAATTGCTTAGAACTGCAATCTTTGTACTATGGTGTACTTACAAAAACTATCAAAACAGGAGAATGGGCTGGGATTGAGCCTACGGAAGTACATGGTGAGCAGGTAACTAGATTCACGTCTGAATTCCCTGAACATATCCTGGAAGGTTGAAGTTGTAATCTATCGGTGTATTTATTCCGGGTACGAAATGGGGGTGGGAGGGAAACGCTGAATTACTATACGGTAAAAGGTGGCGACTCGCGTATTTACTCATGTACTCGCTTTTAAGATTTACTTTACATGCTGGATTCCGAAGCTCTTAAACAGAGCCACTCCTTCACCTCGGCTAATTGTATCTTATGACCATGCATCTTGTGTACTCGGTCCTAGCATTAGACAACACCACGGACCTTGTACCCTGGGTCCAGCAGGAACCGGTCCTGCTGCTCCGTTATGTCGGGCGGGGACGCTCAAGCAGCGAGGCCAGGTGTGAAAATTTGCGTAGAGTTTGCTGCAGTATATTTGAAATATGATGCGAAATTATAGTACCAGAATTCTTTAAATTTGAAGTAGTTTCAGGCTGACCTATTATTGAACTCATTAGTTGGGTTGCTCAGCGATTGTATGGAGGGGGGGGGGGGGAAGGACATGCTAACTGTAATTAAAGCTGTAACTTGCTCGCCAATCCAAATGTTAGTTTGATTCATCGGGATCTACATCTTGTCAAGGCTGAAAAGATGGGTTTTGGATGCACTTTCAATAAGAGAATCTGGGAAGTGAACGAACGTGATTATTCCCAGACGTGACACTGTTACAGAAGTTATACCGCGTAACACCACGTCAATGTTGGCAGTTTTCTGCATGGCTGAAAGGCACAACTTGAGGAGAGATGTGGTGATCTCCAGAAGCGCACTTTTATGGTATGGGTTGTCTTCAGGTGTGAGAAACCTGTTATCTGGTAGGTGCGAGCGACTCAACTAAGCAGGGGATGGTTGGGGGTTAAAGTCGTACGTCTAATACACTTGATTAAAAGCGCTTCTAATTTCCTATGGTACAAAAATCTGTTAGATGGCCGAAAATGTAGCAATTTAAAGCTTTGCAGTTTCAGATTATAAAGTCTATAAAGCTATAGAAATACATTGTATATGTTTAATCACGTGTTTATTTTCGTGATATACACACATTGTATATGTTGTCTGTAATGAATTGTATAATGGCGTCAGGTATACGGAGAGTTAATGATGAAATTGACAAATATTTTAGTGTCTGGAAGAAATGGTAACTGGCAGCGGGGAAGTGATGTCCAGAGAACAAGGGCGGAAGAGATTCGTTTGTTAGCATTAAGAATAAGGCAGTATACGGACGTTAACTTGAACAGTTTGTTTAGTCTAAGTTAGTTGCTAGTATACATAAATGTACAGAATACTAATGGACTTGAGAATGGTCCATGACGGACCGAAACGTCGTCGTCCCTTCGCTTTCTAGTGTGTGATTTGGTAAACATAAATGTAGAATTCGGATAGTATTACTGGACTAGGGGCAAATGTATTCTATCCGGGTTATTGGCGACTACATTAGTTTAGTCTGTGATAATTAGTACTACTATAAAGTTTATCCGGGAAAATTAAATTCTTTAAACTGACTAAGCCTTCATCAGATAATTAATATTGGGTTAAATGCCATATTCGGTATCCTTAACTGACGTCTAATTGGTTTTTGAAGAGGAATTCTAAAAACTACAAAAATGTCGTACGTTTAAGTGATGGCAGTTTGTCTACTTGCGTGATTGTCCCTAATTGACTAACGTGGAACAAAATGGCGATTTGTGTAGATTCCATCGGTGGCTTTGGCCTTGTCAAGAAATTTTCTAGTCTACAAAATTTGTAAAGTTGCGCTATAATGTGTAGAAGGCGTATTATGTCGGTAATATGCTTGCTCCATATTCTCATTAGTTTGTATAGATATTGATGGGTCTGTTAATTCGACTTGGTCTACTAGTTAAAATTGATACCTCTTCCGAAGTGTACAACTAATTTAGTTAATGTATTATTCGGCAATGCTAGAAAGGCACCAGCTGCTTATGCACTGTGGACTCTTCTGACTATTCTTTCTGCGTCGGACAGGTGGTTGTTGTTAGATTCGCTGCCTGGAACAAAAAGTTCAAAGTAGCACGGGCTATGGTGAGCCCGTAGAAAGGTGTCGGTCGGACAGGTGCTTGCATATCCTTTTTAAACTGCATTATCCTTCAGTTCCAGTTAATAGCTGTTATCAGTACTATTTATATACAGTATTAAAATATAAAAAAATATAAAATCCATTTAGTAAAATATTGGTAACATTTTTACGACACTGATGCCAAATAATTGGAGATTTGTATAGCAATTTAAAGTAATTGTTATATTCGAATATTTTTAGTTTCCTGGCCCTTGGGTATGCATATGGTAAGTTGTAAAACCTAGGTAAAATTGTAAAAACATTTTGTCCAGATTAGCAAAATGCTACAATGTACATTAAAATGGTATAAAGTGGAGGACTGCTGTTGCTGACACTATTAATGACTGGTTGTGACTGTGCATTAATTGTTCTACACTGTTACCATTACATTGAAAACGGTCAAATTGTATGGGGACTTGATATCTTAAACTGCACATAGAAAGGGTGATCTGGCACCCCCCCCCCCATCCTTTTTTTCTTAACTACAGTATTAACTTTTCTTTGCAGTGTCACAGGCATATGTAACGCTTGCCACTAACGATGGCTATGCCATTGGGGCACTGGTTTTGGCCCACTCCTTACGCTCAAACGCAACCACCAAAGAACTTTGTATAATGATTTCTCCGACCGTATCTTCACCTATACGGTAAGTAGAGTAATTGGCAGGAGTTTGCCTATTTATTAATTTGCTTCTTTGACTAGTTCTAAAAGTTTTTGACCCATTAAGCATAAAATACAGTAAATGTACTAGTCTTCTACTTGGAAAGTGCTACTTAAAATGGAGCCATACAGGTGGTACTGTTAATCAAAATGTTTGTTAAAATCGTAAGTTTTTTTACTTGTAATAACTATCTTGGGTATGTGGACCACTTAGTGTACACAATGTGGCAGTACCGAGTGCACTTATAAGTGGAAGAGTTAAAAGCTAGAATATTGTAACTGGTTAATGGCTGTGTACAGCTACTGTCAGGATGTGCATTAGTGCTAATTTCCTTGTAATAGAAATTTGGAGTTTTGTTTTTATATAGAGTGCATTAGTTGCAAATTAAAGTGGCACTGGTGAAACTAATTCACTTGCTGACTTGTACCTTTTTTTTTTTTTTAAATTGAAATAGATTGTGACATTGGCACCTTCGTTCTATAAAGTACCACTTTCAAGTACTTTTTGGCAAGTTTAATTTCTTTAATATTTGCCAAAGAATTTGATAAATTGTGACTAAAAAATACCAGTTCTTGATTTAGTTTTTATTACTTAAAATGTAAATTGGCCCATTTTGAATGCTTCATATATGGATACTGGAAATAGATCTAGTAGTTAGTACTGTACAAAAAATCTTGCTTAAATGGCTGTAATGTTGATGAAAGGCCAGACGGATAAATGGTAGTGTTTTTAATATTACTAATTTGTAAGTTTTTAAGATAAGTTTTAGTTCATTGAATATTGGGTGGCAAGACTTTGGTGCTGAAATCCTAAGGTTGCTAGCCTGCGTGTTCATGGAAGCTTGTGACTGTAGATGATACTTGCAATGCAAATTCCCACAGATCACTGTTGGAGTCCGTATTCGACAAAGTGGTAACTGTAGATGTTCTAGACTCTGAAGATTCTGCCCACTTATCTCTGCTAAAGAGACCAGAACTAGGAGTCACATTCACAAAATTGCACTGCTGGACACTTACAAATTATTCAAAATGTGTTTTCCTTGATGCCGATATGTTGGTAAGTGACTTCCTAGATTCGTTACACATAAAGATGGATCTTTGCCATAACCCTGACATTTGTTGCATCTACAAATATCCTTTTGAGCAAAATTGCAAATTAGTCTTTTGTTCACTTTTTTCCTGGCTTGCAAAGTATTGTATTTACGAACTGTGCAGTTGGTAAAACTTGGCCTTTAGCCTAAACATAATGCTTATGTACATGGACTGTAGCTTAGTTATTTTAACTCAAAAAATGAACATCTACTCAGATTACACATGGTAAGAAAGTTAAATTAATAAGCATTGATATTTTAGATTGAATAGTGACATTATAAATATTTATAAAGTTATGTAAATTATAATTTTGCCTTGTAGGCTCCAATAAAAACTTAATTTTCCATTTCAGTGTGTGCAAAACCCGGATGACCTTTTCTCGCATCCTGAACTCACTGCAGTCTGTGACATTGGCTGGCCAGATTGCTTTAATTCGGGCATGTTTGTGTTTGTGCCTTCTTTAGACACTTACGGCAAACTCCTTCAGCATGCAGAGACACAGGGTAGCTTTGACGGTGGTGACCAGGGTCTTCTAAATACTGCCTTTCCAAATTGGCATCGTGTCTCGTTTGTATACAACATGGTTGCCTCTGCTACGTACACCTATTTGCCTGCATACAAACAGTGAGTTGGTTTCTAGTTTGCCTCTTTTCAAGTGAATGTTTTTAGTGTTATTGGGAATAGTTTTGATATTTGTGAAAATTATTGTGGGCAGAAGGATATGGCATTTGTCCTATTTACTTTCTGTAACCTCATAACCAATTTACTCTGGCATGATCTTTTATTAATGTTTTTTAGGCCGAAGTTAGGTGTTAAGGATGTTTCCATAATGTGGGTTAAGCATTAATGGAAGTGTTGAAGAGTTACCAGCTGATACTCTATACATTTTGTAATTATGATGCATGTAAAGTTTATAAGACCTACTAGATTGAAATGCCTGTACTAATGTGGCCAAATTTTGTAGTTTGTACCATTAAATAAAAACTTCTTTAGTGGTATAAACTTTAAGGTGTGGTCTTTTGTGCCATCAATTTTTGTACTTCTCCACCCTTGTCAACCTTTACTTAAATCTAAATTTTTTACTTGGTTTGCAAGTCAACTTTAATACCAAATAATTCTGTTCCAAAGTACTCGTTGAGATTTCTGGGATGAAATATGTAGTCTTTTTGAATTGCTACCCCGTTCACCTCTTTACTTTTGTACATGCTTAAAAGTAGGCGCTGAATGCAAACATTCGGTGAACATAATGGTTCACTTAGTCCAGGAGATTTATTTTGCACCAGAATAATTTTTATATATCGGCATTTTGGGTTCTTGTTACATTACATGTAATTTAGAATGAATGAAGGCAAACCTTCTCTGTATGATATTTGGTTATCGGTAGTAAATACTCTCATTTTGGGATGGGAAGGTAGGGGCATTGTGCCCTTCTAAGCAAAGACATTGCTATAAGTTGTCCCTTAAAGTTATGGACCAAATCCACCCACTACCGTTCCCTTCAGAGTACGTGGTGCTGATATTTTTAGCATTTGTATCTCAAAGGTAACTTGCCGAGTTGGGCATTTTTATACTAGCTTGGGGACCAAGCATTGCTTGATGAATATGGTGGCTTAATCGTGGTGAGAATGATCCGCTAAATGAAATTTTGTGGGTTATATTTTGGTATTGGGAGCATGCAGCGAGGAACACCTCCCCCCCCCACCCTGCTCGCTCGCACACGCACTCGGTCGCTTGCTCGCTCGCTAATTGCTGTGCTAAGTTTGATGAAGCTATCCCAAATTGTCTGGACCCCAACCCTTGAACATTGTGTGTTATAGGTGTATTATTGGTCAAACTTCCTCACCTGCCCATCCCAGCGTGAATGTAGCATAAAGTGGTGCACCCCCCCCTCTCCCCAAAAAAAAAAAAAAATTGCTATGCAGTGTTTTGGTGCACAAGTTATTAAATCTTAGATGTTCTGGCAGTTAAGGAATTTTGAATGCAATAGACTTTTTAGTTTGCCCATATTGGTTTGGTAATGCATTTTTTCTATAATTTGTACAAACATTAAATTTGATTGGCTGGTAATGGGACTTAGTAAATTTGGTTTCCAGCAATTATCTTCAGGGTTGGAAATTCTGATTTTAAAACAATGTATTACTTATTAAATAACAGCTTTTAGTGTTAAAACCCATGAACAAATATTATTAAAGATACTGTTTATCCACAGATATGGAGCAAATGCTAAATTGGTCCACTTTTTGGGTGCCCTGAAGCCATGGCAGCACCGTTATGATGCTAGTACTGGTTCTGTACACACGGCACCTGGCTACGAACACCTTGCCTTGTATCTAAACACGTGGTGGACCATTTATCTCCGCCTAGTTAGACCAGGCGTTCCCGAAATGGTGGGTGGTGATTGAAATTGAATGAAGCGCCACTTAAAACTAGCACTTTTTGACTTTGCCAAGTTGGTGGTTGCATTAAGTTTACCAAAGTTTAGTAAATGGCTTGAAACACCTTTGTTACTTCATTCTGGAATAAAAGTGCAATAGCATGAATGCACATTGAAATTGGAGTGGTACTAATGGAATAATTTTACTTATCTGGTTTGGACATGGTTGTCAAAATCTCACTCTAAAATGGGCAGAATTTAAGTCAAATTGGTAGCTAGTAGTTGGGTGTAGGAAGATAGGCTTGATACATCATAATTTGAGGCTTGATGTGCTGATAAATTTTAAGATGTACTATTTTGCCAATTACAGTAAGTCTGCATTATAGTGAGGGGGTATGTAGACACAATAGGGGTGCTGTTGTACCACTAAGCTTAGTTGCAACATTACTCTGTAATGATTTAGATGTGGTTTTTATTGCCTTTAGCAATTTGAGGGGGGGTAAATTGCTCTAGAATTTAGATCTTCAAATTGGAGTTTTACATAGTGTCCAATATTTGGAGTTAACATACTGTAGTAATCCTTTTTTTTTTTTCTTTTTTTACTAAAGCTTTTGTAGCTCTTCAATAGAAAGTGTTTTAGCAAGAAAGATAATAAGGTTCTGTGATTACATTTGACACTTGTTAAATACTGGTACAGTATCCCTTTCATAACCCCCTCGATCCCTTTCACCAACCTTTCTCTTGGTACTTAGTGAATGTTGAAGGTAATGCAATGTTTGTATTACTGTTGTGCAAACTGTAATGTAGGTGTGTGTTAATCTGGACATTAATATAATTTATAAAGTGTAATATGGAGTTGTTTTGTTTTGCAGCAAGTTTTCAAAATATCATAACATTTCCCAGTGATGAGGTTCCCAGGGCTAACGAACACATTTGTGCATGCATTAATATTGTGTTGCTCATTTCCCCCTTGCAGGATCTCCAAAGTGCAGTAGAGGAGAAAACTCCCCTTGAAGATGTTCAGGTAAATTTGATACGGCTGCAAAGAGGTTAATGTGTGATAAAATGGTATAGAAATTACTTGAGGTATTAGTTCATACAAATTAGGGGATATATGAATAACCAAACTAGACTAATTTAGTTCTAGCATAACCATAGAATTGGTTTTAGTTGTATATTAATGCAGCATAATTATGTACTAATTCTGATTTTTTTACATGCGGCTATTCAGGAAATTAAGGATCATTTTATAGTGGCAGAGGGACATGAACATGCTTCCAACCATGTATGTGATGGGACTGAGGTAAACGACACAAACATTAGTTACAGAGTACTCGACAATTTGGAGTCGCATAGTGAATGTGTATCTAATGTCATTGATTCTGTTGAGGACAGTAATGGCAATGAGAGTGAAACCTTAGACCTGGAAGCTCCAACTGTGTGTTGGGTACAGGAGGTAAAAAAGTAGTCTCTACAGACTTTGTTGGGGCAGAGGCAAAGCTTTTTTTAATCCATATGATCATATTGTACAGTACTGTATTACTAAATTTGTGGTGGCTCAGTCTTTCATCTTCATGTGGCTGTGGTTCCTGGTAATGTTGAGCTTGTACTAGTCCTTGAAAACTTACTTTAATCTGTACTTTGCCATGTGGTGCTGATGCTGTTGAATCTCAAGATTTAATCTTGGCCTCTTTTAATTCTTAATTTAAGGCAATAATGCTTCTTGGTCTCGCGCACATTTTAAAGCCTTGCTGATTTTGTGTAGAGGGGGGTGGAGAAAACCATGCTCCCCTACCCCTGTAAATTTCTTTTTTTTTTCTCTCCCCACCATCTAGCTCTGTTACTTTGATAATTACTTGCCTATTCCCATGGCATTCATAAAGAGTAGTTCGATGAGCAGTTATTAGAATCTTGCATGTTGGTCACAAGGTTAACTCTTGAGCACTTTGGGGAAATGGAAACTTGCCTCTTTTTGCAGGTTTAATAGCCATGTTGTATATAAGCTGTCAATCTCTTGGTTCAATGGTTAATTGCAAAGCTTAACACTTACTCTGCCCACTCCTATATGCCATGGATGTCACTTGGGGGTGGGGGGGGGGGGCACCTTTTGACATTGCTAATACTGTATATATATATATGTCTGCATTGGGATCTTGCATGATATACAAATTGTTTAATTCAAACTTGCTGCATTCATCATTCATGACTGCAACAAATTTCTTGGTCTCAAGGTTTAAAATTTCAAAAGTATATGAAATTTAACTTTAATCCAAATATGGTTTTATAACTGGTAGTAAAGACTGATATTCCCAGTCTTCCATCACATGAAGAAATAGTTCAAAAATGTTCTTGGTACAACTTTAAAAAAAAAAGATCCATTAAATTCACTTCAGAGACTTGTCTGCACAGTAGTTGGGTGATCATAGAGAAACTTGAGCATTTACAAAAATTGGAACAGTGCAGGTCTTTGAAACTTTAAAACCTGTTCGGTTAACATTAGAGAACCAGTTCAGTGCATGTGTACAGATGTCTTAAAATTTATTCTATTGAGGAATAACAAATGACTTCTGGGACTTTTATGATTTTGATAATTACTTACTTCTGGGACTTTGTTACTGTATTTTTAGAACTTTATCTGTAGTGGCACTTGTTGCAGGAATGCCAGTCTCTGAACTGCATTTCCTTGGAGCCATCTAATGGTTCATGATTTCAAACTTGAAAAATTAAGCATTTTCACAAATGCAAGTACAGTACTTGTTTGCTATACTTTCCTTATCTCCCCCTCGCTCTCCTTCCCCCCCCCATCCTCCTCCTCATTTCAGAACTGGCAGAAGACTGTCTTTCTTCTGCCAGTTCCCTTGACGCTTGAAACGGATTTCTGTCCACACCTAGAACTTTTGAATATTTATTGATCTTCGCACTAGTTTTGCACATCCTGGAAATATCCCTACATACTCGTCCCCTACTTCAAACATTTGTATGGCTATTTGCATGCTGTCAAATATTTCTAATGTGACCACATGAAATGTTAGTGTTTGCTGCCTTTTTCTTATAACTAGGTTGGTCTCGTCTTTTAAGGGTATTACTTGGTATTGCTTTTTTTCTTGGTATTACTTTTATAGGCATGAAGAATAAGATTGTGTTTTGCACTAGTGTCTTCCATGGTTCCTTTTGACATATTTGATTTCCTCCGTAGCTAAATATAACCTTCACATCCTAAGAACACATTATGCGGCATAAAACTTTAGAAAGCAGAGTGGGTGATGACGCAAACGAAGTCGTGCATTAAATTTTTGCATAATCTTAATATTAAGTATAAACATCGAGTGAGAGTTTAACATTGGGTTATGTACTCGTTGGGAATGCTCGGCCTACCTTCTCGTGTGATTTGGGTGCCCCGCCGGGCATGCAATAGCGTTAATACCCATATCTGATTCTTTGGGGATAACTTTTCTAGTTTTTTCTCTAGACAGATGGTACAGGCACTAGTATCTTCTGGGTGTGGCACCTTTTGATAATTACTTGCTATAGTAATGAAATTGAATTGTAATGGTACATAAATTCAATGTTGCCAAGTTGAATTTGTGAATTAAATTGCTAAAGTAAACTGTTGTTCCATGGGTGGCTAGACCACAAGGTATTGAAGGTTGTTTGCTAGCTTAAGAATTGGCAAGGAAGTAAATTCATGGAGTACCTTTTATAGAAGTGATGAGTGACACTTACTCTAATGGCAAGCTCTTAAGACTATTATTGCAATACTGTAGCTCATTTTCTGCTCATTAAAGATTTTAATATTTAAAGGTTGCAAGACTACTCTTCTTGATCTTACGGTTAACCCTAAATGGATAAAGTACAATACTCTCCTAAACGGGTTTAGATGTGATGTTTTAGGTTTTGTTGTACATATCGATTTTAACTTTGCAAAATTTCTCTGGCTTATACTGCACTTCGGATTTCCTATATCCACTAATATACAATGTTAGATTTAATCTTGTTGAAATGATTGCCACCTTAAAACATGTTTTAAGCATTTGCCACCTTGCCATAAATTAAGTATACTTGGATTTGTTGTATATTAATGTAACTTCTTGTAGTAAGGCTGTGAAAATGTTGAACCAAAATAATGTACTGTATATAGTGGTGGTGGTTTACAATATTAGTTAAAAAAAAATACAAAGCTTTTAGTCTCTTTTAAATCTCTCAAATTGTTTGGCCTCTTTTGCTAACTCTTTTTGTTTATATAGGTTGTGCAGCAATTGGCTGATATGAGCATTGGACAAGAGAATCTTCAAGAAGGACTGGCCAGGTGGGAACGTGGAGAACCAGACTACCTGGGTCGTGACTCCTTTGCAAACATCCAGGCTTACATTGAAGAAAAACTGCGAAGTAGCAAGTAGCTGCAGTAGGCTTGAATATAAATTACTCTAGAGTACTGCAGAAGTGACTACATAGTGATCAGATGGATAATCAGACTTTAAATGCAAGATGATTCTTGATTGCGAAGTCCTGGTAGAAGTGGTTTTGCAGGCAGTATTTTTTTTCTTTTTGGACGTTGATACCAGTTCAAAAATGACTCGTATTTGTGTTAAATTCTGATGTTTTGATGCATTATATTACTGCAACATTAAATTTGAGAAAGTATATTACTTTGTCTAGAGGCCTTTTTATGTAATTTAAAAGTTAGGTTAATGTTTCTTGGTCCATTCAGTAATATAAACTTCTCAAATAAGGGATGATCGTATAGTGATTCGGTTAGACAAGAACTGTCCCCTTAACATTCTCATGGTGTACAGCTCTTTATCTACTAGGAATCTCGAGCATTTTGTTTAATTGGGTATAACTCTAGTCTAATTTGTTGCTCAATTTCTTTGTAATGTAATTGACTCAGTGCCTTTATCTGATAGTGTAACTGGAGAGCTAAAATGGTATTGAAGATGCATATTGTGGTCTGTGACAGCGTGTCATGTTGGGCAACCTAGCACAATTCAGATACTCTGAAAGAATGGGGGAAAAATTGGAATTGGATGAAATTTTTTTACATTCCGCATTGCCCAAACTGACTTTACCTAAATTTTTCGAATTGTGCCAAAGTCCTTGGAATGTCACTTCAATAAAGCATAAGCATTACTTGGTATTTTTATTATAACCATTTGTTGCATTTAAATCTTTTTGACAAGGTTTAAGTCTGTAAACAAAATGGGAGTGAAATGGCTAGCCATTTTGCCAAAGGGCTAGCTACTTCAAAGGGAAAAAGTTTCAACATTGTAACATTAAATGAAATGGAGGATTGGGGGGAGGGGGAAGAGTTACTTGCATGTGCCACTTGGTTCACATTTGAAGACTGCTGTCTGTGAATCGTTAATTCAAGACGATTGATCACTACACCGTATTAAGTACATGCACGAAGATGTTGTCACAACACTGGAGTTGCATGTGCACTTGGTGCTAAATATTTAAAATGATTGGTATAAATTTTAAAAAAATTAAAACAATCTACAAAATTAACACTATTTTAAAACTTAACAAATCGACTTGCTCACCACTCGGCATCAGCTTATGCTGACGTGTTAGAGTAGTATGCAAGCACTGCTAGCATCAAATTTGCTTTGGCCCGCCCCCCCCCCCTAAAATAAAATCTTGGTAGTACTAACATCAATAGGCTTTAATATTGAAGTTGCCTGTAGTGAAATGGGTTCACATGTATGCAACATCTTTATCAGAATTTAAAACTGCACTCTAGAAGGGCAGAGCTACTTCTAGAGATGACACCATAGTTTCCCAAAGATGTCTTGCTGACATGCCTAACAGTTTGCTGCTAGAATTAGGTTGTCTATGGCAAGTTGTCTTACAAGAGTGCTGGATGTAGGGCCTCAATCCCTATACCTAAGCCAAATTGATAAATTTTGGCCTTGAATCTTTAACTTCTTGCATATGTAAGTGTATTGATTGTAGCTTGCAGACTAACGATACAAATTAAGTAGACTTGCTCTTAACTTGCATGCCTTTGTGTACGTCTTCCCTGGGAGAAGTACACAAACTTGCTTTGCTGAGTACTTCATTGGGCAGGAACGAAGAACTTGTGTAGCATTGCTTGAACTCCAAGCTGTACTTGACATGGCTAATAAGGAACTTATCCTGGAACAACTAGCCATTTTTGGAGTTTGACAAGGATTAGGGGTATTTTAAGTAACAGAACTGTCTCAATCATTTGCAAGTTAGTTATAATACTTTTGAATTGAGCACACATTGGGCCATGCTTTTCAATGTTCAATGAACAGGCTGATAACTGACATACATACACAAGCCAATGTAGCTGTCATCTGCTTTGAAGATATTTTCCTCATTGCAAACTGTGGTAATCAACTACTGTACAAGCACTCATTGATACTTTTGCAGGGAAAAAGCATTGAATGTGGGCTTATTGTTTTATCAGAATAACTGGAACCAAATTCCATGGGAGTCCCACCAACCCCACCGTTATTAAAGTTAACAAGCAGCACAACGAAAACTGCAGACAATACAAATACTGCAGTGTGAGCACTAACGGTGAAACTAAGTGATTTACAGCTTGCTTAAAGACTAAAACCTCCAAATATTACTTGCTGGTAACCAAACTTGTATTAAAGTTAAATATGCAGAATGTTCTACAATGTTCATTAGGTCCCTAGTGGACTACAGCATTGTGACTGGCTATATAATTTCCCCTGGCACTAGGTCGAATGCATTAAAAACTTCAAAGCGAAGCTATGAGGAAAATTTTTTTGAGTTCCCAGATGGGCAACAACCATTAACATGAGAGGGGATTGAAACTCCCCACCACATGTGAAAGAATTGTCCATCTACAAATGACCTGTGCACAGTTCATGAGAGAACATCACGAGTACTGTACTACTAAGAGACAAACTGTCTGGTGCTGTTATTTTTATTTATTTATTTATTTATATACAAGAAGGTACATTGGGGGTTAACAGAGAACATAGAAATTAAGTCGATTTTATGTTCTTGTAAAGAAACTAGCACGCATTGCGTTTCGGGCAAGTCCTTAAACTAACAAGTAAACTGTTCGCAAGTAAGAAAACGTAGCCACCACACTAGTGGCCAATATTATGAACTGGTTGAGTAAAAATGCTGTCGACAAAAGTAAGTTGAAAATTCTTATTGTATTCAATGTACCAGCTAATGATGTTTCACTACATATGCAACCTGTAATAAAAATATTAGTCCATGCCCATCAGCAATATAACTTAAACAAATAAATTCAGTACTTCTCAAAGCAGCAATACTTTATTGATTTCTTTGTTATAAATTCTGTAACTTACAGCCTCACCAGCACCGTACTTACACTAATGGTACTATTCAAATGTTATCAGGTTGCACTGCAGCAGTCTGTAAGGTAGAGTACAGTATCACAGACCAAGCCAATATTGCTGTAAGCAAGTGCGAGAACGGGTTCCACAGACCATTAGGGTAAGACTAAACAACTGATTTAGCTCCACACATTGTTGGGTCTTGCCAGTATATAACATACTGTGTATAATTAGCTACAATGCAACTAACTACTAACACTGAAAAATAAAGGAGAAATTTTCTATAATTCAAAATCAGCTCAACCCAAAACTGAACGTGCAAAATAGAAACTAGGAATGTTGTAACATGTATTAAAACAGCATAAATGATACACAGAGCTAGTTTAGTTTAGTTCATTTATTATGCACCCCATACCCATCTTATGGGCGGTAGTGGAAAGGGTTAGAGGCACATAATGGGCTCAGGGACTGAACCCCACAATTCAAATATAAATACCATCTCACGTAGGTTGTGTCCAGCATGATGATATGGACAAGGCAGCTGAAACTGTATATGCCCGAAACGCTTTGCGTAATAGTGGCTTTAGGCATTGTATGTACTAGCTCTACCTATAAGTCAACCAATCTTTGTAAAAATTTATTGTATGTATGTACCTTACCTAAATAAACATTTTATTTTTATTTAAAATTTTTTTTTTTATATAATAAACCTGAAACTGAGCTAGACCTAGGTATTCTAATCTAATAGTCAGAGCCACTATTTCAAGAAACCAGGTTATGGGCTGACAGAAGAGCAATTACTGACACTCAAAGGGCAGAAAATATCAGCATATACAGTTGTATCTTTACAACTGAGAACTATCAGTACCGACAGCATAAAACAGCCACTAGACAGTATGACAAGGAACAAATGTGTAGAGTAAGACAATGTAATTGGCAGGTGGCTGAAGGTAATGACTTCCCCAACAGTGAACACTCCAAGTGTTAACTACGTGAACAAAAGCTGGGACACAGCAAGTAATACATGGACACTTAGGTAATCACACTCCAATACTGTACAGTAAAGTATTAGCAGTCTAAATCAGTGATTTCTGGGTAGTGGTTATCTAGAAATTGCCTACGTTATTTTATCCTTCTTGAGATGTATCTTATTGTCTCCATAAATGAGCTTGAATCGAGTACAGGATAAGTCCAGTGGAATAGAACAGTCCTTGAATTCACTACTGAATTGTAAGTACCGTAACGTCCTATTGTTCAAATACCATTGTCGTACATAATAGTTATTACCTCTCATCTTGATAGGAATATTTTAATTATAATGTACAGTACGTATACAGTAAAATAAATCAATGTTAAAATATAGGTTAACTCACTCTCTCCACGAATATTAGAGTATTGTTTGAATTTAATGCGACAAATGCATTACATAAGTGTCTGATGGAGAGATTGATTGATTGATAAAGATTATGCCACCCAAAAGGTGGCACGGGCATGAATAGCCCGTAAGTGGTGGCCCTTTGGAGCCATTACCAGTATCAATAGCTGGTACTGGGGATCACTGGATGGTTGAATGTCCTGTTGTTATAAATTCAACTACTGGGAACAAAAAGTTCCGAGTAGCACGGGCTATGGTGAGCCCGTAGTGTACTTGCCTGGCACAAGAGCGGGGCTGGAACGGTGATGGGGAGAGAATGGAACGTGGTCTTGTCTCATCCGTGCCCGGGGAAAAAAAAGTTTAAGAGGACCCATGGTGGTCGGTCCACAATATTACCCACAGCCTCCTTAAATTGTGTAACATCAATTGATTTTAAGATTTGGTTGGCTCATATTTTAACGCAGCCCCTCAATTGTATAGCAATTGAGGGGCTATAACTTTCAATAGCTGGTGGATCATAACTTATAGGTCTTTAATTATTCACTATTCTACAACGTGCTTATAGTTGGCCTAGGAGGGACTTCGATAGACTTAAGTTCAGGCTTTCTGTCCCCGACTATGAGAAGGAAGAGAACTATTAAAGAGAAAGGGGCCAAGCCTTAACTATATAACACTTGGAAGGGATCAGGATAAGGATTTTGGATGGGAACTACAATAATATGTCAACTTTGGATACATGAGTTAACATATGTAAAGATAATAAATGAATTAATTACTTTCTAAAACTTTTCATGGGTTAAATTGGAGGTTAGTAACAATTCTCGTAATACAAAATTCTTGACTCAGCATAGGAAGGGAGACCGAGGGCCACGTTCTAGCCACCTGTCTCCTGTCCCACCGTCTGGGCGGCTCTGGGGCCTGCTGGATGGTGCGGCTGCAGCTGTCATGCTTTTAAGGCAAACACTTGAAAACGCCAAAGCTTACTTTGAGAATATGTATGGGTAATTTTATCATTTACTTAGTGAAAATGTATACAAAATGTAGATATTTAATTCATATTAGTTAAATATAAAAAAGTGATTAGTAAAGTAGGATAAAATTATCTGAAGTAAAAAGACTAAATGCGGAGGGTATATATTTATACTTCAAGAACGTGGGGAATGCATTCGAGCTCTTTAGAAAGTCACACAAGTGTCATAAAAAAATAAAAAAATATAATATTTATCAAGTTAATGGTCATTATGTGCATTTATGTATAATTTTTAATTAAATAATCACATTATAGACCTACGTTTTGATAAATTGTTTTTTTATTTTGTTTAAAAATTTATCATGACAATAGCTTCTGTTTTCATTTTTGGTAACTGTGACGTGTACTTGTTGTTTTACCCCAGTGGACACTCAACAAGTAGCAGACATGGACCTATGGTGGACTCTCACAATACTTTTACCTCTCATATGCTACACCAATGCTCAGAATCCCCACAAGAGGTTCGAATATAAGTACAGCTTCAAGGGGCCGTACCTGGCGCAGAAGGACAACCAAGTTCCATTCTGGCAGTACAGCGGCAGTGAGTATGGTTGACAGCTGAGGCTGCTGGCCGGCCAGCGGGTCGTCTGCTAACATATGTTCTCTGACCTCTGTTTACGCCTTCCGTGTTATTTACCCCTTCTTTATAGTCACCTTATCCTGGCCTGTTCAGCCTCTCCCTCGCTGTCTGTGTCTTGAGACGGACCTGTTGTAGGTGTACAAGTCATATATGGAGTATTTTGAATTTGACCTGTCAGGGAGTTAGTAAACCGGGTCAAGCACGGTGCTCGAAAGAATCTATCGATTTAGATTAATTAATATTGATTCAAAATTGATCAGACTTGGTTACTTCTATGTTTGTGGTGTCATTTGGTCAGTCTGAAAAAAATAAAGGTTAAGCACTGTTGGGTCTAGTCAGGGACTGGATGGGTAATGTCATTGACAGGCTTTCCCTTGGGTAGGGCACCTTAATAAACCTAATAGGTCTTTTCTTACAACAATTGTATAGTGGTATAATTTAGGGGATGTGTGCAATTTTTATTTTTCATAAATATTTAATCCTACTATTGCATAGGACTTATAAGGCATGTTTGGTAGCTCCCTGTCTTTGCCCTGTTCCTATGTTTTGTGTGGAGTTGATGTTTTGCACCAGTGGCAGGCTGGCCGAGCCACAGCTGACCTAGACTCGTCTGGTGACAGTTATGCACATAATTAGTTTTTACCCTGCAGAAATGACAATTTGCCTTGTTTACCTTTGGGTGCCTAATTTCCTTGAAGTAGTTGCTTGTTTTGTTGCATCTAAAATTTCTGGTGGGCTTGTCATGATTCTTGGTTGATTTCTGATCCTCAAGCTCCCATTGCCTCGTACTGAAAGCTAGATTTGGTTCTGGTTACTTGTCTTGGATGCTTGATGCATTTAGCTAGACCTAATAGTACCCGAGCCTAGCTTGGAGAACTAATGCTGGCCACTAGAAAAGGGCATTATATTACTTTAAATTACTTAAAAAAAAACGGTCCCCGGTGGTGAAGTAACACTCGCCTGGTGTTTCGCGAGCACTTTGGCCTGGGTTTGTATCCTGGCCGGGGAGAATTTACTAGGTGCCAATCCATAACTGTAGTCACTGCTCACCCAGCAGTGAATGGGTACCTGGTTCTTAAATGATTTGGTGGGTCGTATTCCAGGCAAAAATAGGATTAAGGACTTGACGGAAACGTTGTGTGTGCTAGTGGCTGTATGTACAAGAATGTAAAAACACTTGTACATATAAATACCCTAAATGAAAAAGAATGCTTGATTTGTGTGCAACCTGCAAATAAAATCTAGAGTTTGCAAATCTTCTTGAGCTAATAAAGTATTATGGTCCATTATAAATTGTGCAATGATGATTATCTAAATGTTGAGGAATCAGCATTGCCATAACTTGCTGGTTTTCTCTCCTTGCTAATGTTAAACTATCTGAGGCCTCAAATGTTAATTTGTTAAATTTGTAAATGTATCTACTGATTACTGGGATTCTGTATTGACTTCTTATTTATGAATGTTAGACTTTACTCCTGTATTTCAAGAAATGGTTGGCTTCATTCTCGATTCACGAATGGAGATCCCGGGCTCAATTTCAGGGTTGGACAGAATGGTCAGGCACTTTTTTTTGCCTAATGCCTCTTTGTCCAGCAGTAAATAGGTAGCCAGAAGTTAGGCAACTATTGTATGGTTGCCTCCTGTGGAGGCTCTGTAGTTCAACCTTGGGAGGACCTAGATACAAACCTGAAGTGTATGTATGTGTATATATATATATGGTATACTATATATGCATATATATATATATATAGGCTTCCTGTCCCCAACAAAAAAGACTTAAATAAACTTACCTGGGCTAGTATATTCCACACAGTTAATTTTTTTTTTGAGTGTGATGAAAGGTATAATAATCATTTCGATACTTTAACTCCAAGTCATAGCCCTGTCTAGTCAGGGCTTTGACTTGGAAAACTTTGACTTGAGTACTTTCATCATAACAGAAATGTCTTTATTTTCTAGATGCAATTGCCAGTGAAGAGAGCGTACGCATCACCCCATCACTACGTAGTCAAAAGGGACAGATATGGACCAAAAACCCTACAAACTTTGAGTGGTGGGAAGTGGACTTCGTTTTTCGTGTAACAGGTCGAGGAAGAATAGGTGCTGATGGCTTGGTTAGTGGACGTGTTTTGGTTTATGTAGCAAGATCGTGCTGTAAAACCATGTATACAATTTTATTTTTGTGCATTCCCAGAATCACAGATAACTATAACAATCTTTTTGCATACAGGTATCTCTTTTTACATTTATATGGATAATACAATCTACAACCAGCCTTTTTTTCTTAAATGTATGCTTTAAACAACATGGTAAATGTTCTGCATTTCTCATTTAAAGCATAAAACCTGAAGGGATTTAATCCTTAGGCAGCACAAATATTGTGGATCATCACTCATATTTCCCTTCCCATGTTCAATTAAAAAAAAATATTTTGTAGCCAAGAAAAATGTAATGAAAGTTTTTGAAACTTGTTTGAAACATTCTAGATGCCATATTTTGAGTGAAGATATGAAAAAAGCAAAATATATATGGGGGTCCTCAGCTGTGTTGCTAACCTCCCCTGCATCATGCTGTCCAACCTCACTTTGATCCCCATTGATGTGCTGTTGCCAGTCTCTTTTTGTATTGTCCACCATTTTGAATGCTTCGGGCAGGGAGATGCTATAGCTAATAGCCACTAATAACTAAATACAGGAATCGGAAGAATTTTCTAATAACCAGAACATCCTGGTCTCAACAGCCTGAGTCAGTAGTTGGTCTTGTGACTCGAGCTCAACACACAGTACATGCACTCGCCTTGTTAAATTTTTATCCTCATGGACACTAAGTTACCAGAGACCACTTGTCAACTGAAGGCAACATTACATTAGTTGTTAGTGTTTACTTAATCCACAAAGGTTTCTACTGTAGCCCTTCAGTCCTATATACAGTATATAAATCAATTCTAAACTCCCTTGCATTACAAGTAGTACTACCGATGCACCATTTCGGCTGTTTATTGTTGAAAAGTCCTATAATAATGACTGGTAAGAGGAGGAAATATTTTGGTGTTGCACCAGTGAATTTTGATTATAGCTTCAAATTATACATGCATTGACATTTGGAAGACTTGTTAACCCTTTTGCTAAGGAACTTAACATTAACACCTCTCACAAATAATTTGTCAAACTCCTCTACCTGTACCACTAACCATGTCAATGGTGTGACACAATGGATGATGTGTCCTTGACAATGACAAGGGTATATCATACCATGCCATATGCCAACCACACTGGCATAACTGGAAAGCATTGGGAAAGAGGGCAACCGGAAGACCCCAGCTGTGTTTCAAAGATGCCTGCAAATGCGATCTCGAGCAGATGAACATCGACATAACACTTGGGAGGCAGCAGCTGCGGACAGATCTGCCTGGAGACGCAAAGTGCAGAAGGGACTCCAGCAATTCGAGGGTGAACTGGAGAGGCAGACGGAGGATAATAGACATCAGAGGTCTCGACCATTGTCAGACGCATCCGCTTTGGTGTTTATATGCGCTCGCGACTGCCATTCTCGGGTTGGACTTCACAGCCACAGTAGACGTTGCATCTAACTAGACACCCAAGGCACAACTCCATAACCCCACGGGATTGACGGATGCCTACTATGCCAACCACGTTACCGTCCCTATGCACTGGCCATCAGCTCTCAACCACAACTCAATGTGCATGCAAGCCACCTTGACCCAACTGTTATACTTCTGTATTTAATATTTTGTCTGAACTAATTTTAATATCTATTATAATTCTTACAATCATTATAATAGTATTGTTAATTCTTGTACTTCTTACAGCACCTTCTCAAAATCTTCCACTTCCTCTTTATGTATTGTATAAAATAAATAAAGCAAAATGTGTTTCTTGCATGTACTGTATTCAATTAGGATAATATACTCTAATACTGTACAATGCTTTATTCAGTACAGTAATATTATTCATGAAATGATATTTATTCATGATGCCATTTATTAGCGGGTGTGCTTGTCACAGGGCTTGGAATGCTTCCTGATCAGCTATGATCAAAACACACCTAGTTTAATAATTATCATGCTTATCAATAGCTCCTAAAATTTATGAAGATTTTGTTTGCAGGCTATCTGGTTTGCTGATAAACCTGGTGTGGAAGGTCCTGTATTTGGCAGTTCAGACCAGTGGAATGGTCTTGGAATATTTTTTGATTCTTTCGACAATGATAACAAGAGAAATAACCCATATGTTATGGCCATGGTCAATGATGGCTCCAAAATTTACGATCATGAACAGTAAGTATTATCCAGTTGAAAAATTAGCCACTGTTTACTATGAGTTGACTGTTATTGGATTTATTATATTGGGTAGTTGTGTTAAGACATTATTTTATAGATCAGCAATGGTAATGTTTTCATATTTTACTTCAGTGATGGATTGAGCCAGCAACTTGGTGGCTGCCTTAGAGATTTCCGAAACAAACCTTTCCCAGTGAGAGCGAAGATTGAATATTACAAAAATGTGCTAACTGTAAGTACAGTACTTCTGTATTACTTTATTATAAAGGTCAGTGTTTATATTTATGTACAGTAAAGACTTCATTTATTTGCATTTCTGTCTGGACAGATAAGTTGATCTGGACAAGAACGTTGGTACAATGGCAGAAAATGTAAAACATTTTGACTCTGGGTTTTGTCCAGAGTGGAATCGGGAATGCAGTCGTTTACTGAAAAACTTTAAAAGATAAATAAAAATATTTTGAACTTTTTTTTTGTATCAAAATGTATGCATAAATATGTATTGTTTGAATTAATAAATCAAATATTTGGGTTATAAAATAGCAAAAAGGAGTGAAGATGTTTCACTCAACTGAATTTCGATTAAAACAAACAAGACTTCATACATTCGAGCAGCGTTCCACTTTAGTGTACTGTAATTTATAAATATTTACAGCACTTGACAACTTTTAATATAATATCTAAAAAACTATTTAGAAGAGTGTACTTAAAAAAATTCTTTACCGTAAATGATCTGTACCGTAATTATTCTATTATCCACAAGTCTACTAGTTAAGTTAGAAGTGTCTTGAGCAAAACTGAAACCAAAATACAATAGATGTATTGTATTTTGGTTTCGGATACCAAAATGTCTGATTATCCATAGTTTTGGTTAGGTATTCCATCTTGAAACATTACATAAATAAATTTGTAGATAAATTTTGTACAGTACTTACTGTACTCGGGTTCAAATGGTTGTGCTCTCAGAATATTTACTTGTACGAGAGCTGTAACTACAGTAGTATTGTATGTATGGAAGGGTGTTCTGAGACATATCATTCATGGAGATGAAGGGAAGGGAACTATCAGGGGGAAAGCTCCAAGCCTTTGACTATATAGCACTATTAGCACTATGGTCAGGATTCATGGTAAAGAGAACAAGAAAAATAATAAAATACACAGGTGTACCGTATATCTAATGCCATGGATTTAAAGTTGTATGGTGGATCCCAATGAAATATACCTTGATATTCAGGAAATGTTCATCAGTTTAACTGCAAGATTATTATATTTAATAGTACTGTATTTACTTTATCTGTTGTTGGAAATAATAATGGTGCTGCATTGCTTTATTAAGTTCAAAGTTTTTTATTTTGCCATTGATGGATACGTGCAGGTAAAAACCCAGCTGCTTGAGTTTGATTATTCAAAACTTGAGGAGAGAGACCCAGATATAGACAATATAACACTGGGAGATACAGAACCCTTCAGTGATTCACTCACGACTACATATCCTGTGGCTGCTGAGACAACTTTGCCTCCTGTATATGATGAATATCCAGGGACAACTTCGCAGTCTTCTGATATTTACTCGACGGCTATGACATATTTTGGATACGAGGAAGAGGCTACATCTTCATCTCCTGATAGTGAATCTACCACCACAACTGCTTCTACAATATTAGGTGATGGTTTTACCAGAGATGGTTTAGATACCAGCCATCTCTTTATGGAAACTGTCCATGTGGCTGGTGAGGAGGAACTGTCAGCTGGACGGGGATGGTATGGAAGTAGTGAACCTACTGCAGCTACCACAACACCTAAGCCTGAGAAAAAGAAACGCAGGAAGCGGCAGAGGAAGAGGAGGACGACGACGAGGAGGAGGAGGAAAAGGGTGCATAGTACAAGTCCGGTAGGGTGGCATGGAGTGCAACCTAGAGTGACAGTGTGACTAATGCCCTGAATTTGGAATGATGGAATGCTTTTCTCCAATTGAGAAGAATTATATTTTCTACCCACTTTTATTTTATTTGTCTTTATTTTGTTTTTCTCCAATTCTCCTTTTAAATGTGAACCACCTCCATACAGATTATCTGTAGACAATTGTGAAAGTTCTACTCTTGTACTCCTGCCCTAGGCCAGGCTTTGCTAGTGAGTGCCTGGTTCATGAGGCTATTTGTCTTTGTAGTCTGCAGAGCCACACATCCATCACAGCCAGGCTGGCCTCGTAACTCCAAACTGAAACTTGATTCCACCTCAACCTATCTTACATTTGTTGGTAGGAGGTTGAAGTGTGGACATCTGATGATCAGACCATGTTCTCTAATTGCAGCTTACTCTTAACTTTTCATTCAGTTTAATTTGCACTTTGATCATATCTCACTCTAGTACAATATATTGTAATTTTATTATGCATGTTTGGAACCAGACTTTCCAGTTTTTTTCATGTTTATTATTACAATACAGTACAGTATTAGATCTCCCATCTGTTCTATGGACCGAACAACATTCCATATGAGATCACCAGTGCCCTAAAGAGTACAGGTACCATAATTTGTGTGGCATCCCTTGTTTTGAATGTTCTCTTTATCCATCATATCATATCATCATATGGTATGTTTGCTTCAGCCCTTACACTGATCCAATCATTTGAGAATAATTGGTCCAAATGCTCCAGTCATCTGGAGAGATTATAGGGTGTCCTATTTTATTGAAAAGCCTCACCCATTCTAGGTGATATTATTTGTTATTAGAGACCTCTACCATATTGGATAAAGATCCAAAGTTTTTTTTAGTATCTTCCAAGCTCTTGATAAAAAGTTGCTGACCATGCCTAGCGCATCACCATCCAGTGACTAAATGCATAGGGCAAACATACTAGTAACCATTGAACTTTTAACAACTGCAAATCAGTGATTTTCTGGTACTGTCTATATTTACATGCAAAATGTGTGTTATTTAAAATTATAAGATAGGCTTGTATATACAATATACGTATATGAGAAACAATAAAAATTTCATTGACCAGGTCATTCCTGTGCGGCAGCTCTCCTAATTTTCAACCAAAAAAAAAAAACTTTTCCGGGCTTCTAGTAGACTTTTGACGTGGATTATCGAGCTTCCTGTGTGCTAATTAACAATGCAAAAATAATCTCTTTTTTTTCTCTACAACAGAATGCATCAAAATAACCTGCGCAGTTAGGGGGGTTCATGTTCTTTAAATGTTTAGAGTTCTGACTTATTATTATTATTATTATTATTGCAAGTTTTGTATCATCAGTGAAGGCTAGAAATATTGTGGGTTGTATTCGTCAGCTTTCTATAAGGATGAGAGAGTAATGTTGGGAGGACTTTATTTTGTGGGAATGATTATTAATGTACTCGTCCTGGATTTTGTTTGCTTTATTTCCTCACCTTGCAATCTGTTAAAAATATTACAATCCTCCTCCCTATTTCATCAATTATTCAATTTGCTCTCATTTCATATGCCATGTTTTCATTTATCAAATATTTTTGCTTATTCTATGTTCATCTGAATTTTGGTTTGCATTTAATACCTTCATAATTTTTCTTAAAGTACTAATGACAATTGTAAAAGAGATGTCCTCCTGCTCTAAAAATTGTGTCGACCTGGGTTGTTTAGCTTATTGCTTTCCATAAGGCTGGTAAATTGCCTTCTTGGCAGTAGTTAAGTCAAGTAGTTACTGTTTTGGATAGTTTGTTGTAATAGGGTAGTATTAGTTCTAATATATTATTAAATGTGGATAGTCGTCTGTTAGAGGAGATGAGAGCAGGTGCTATATAATGTCAAAATACTTGATGTATCGGTGTGTGAAATCTAAATGTAGTAGTGTAATGCATTATTGTGCAGGTTCAGTGTAATAAGTCAAGCAACAAGTACTTTGTGACATCTGTGATAACGCACTCTTTAATTTAATTTACACAAATATTTATTAGTCATTAGCTATGATTGTCATGGGTAACATTAAGTCCTCCTTTGCTAGCTTGTAACTTGCTCCCAAAACTACTCAATCTCATTATCCTGGAATCTTAAAAGGCTTTAATTTTTATTTTGTGCTTCAAATGTTGAGACATTTGTTCAGGTAAAGGAGGATAGTGTCATTGGAACCAGACCCATTAAGGCAGGCACAGTCTAACATTTTGATGTACTTCTGGAGTTGTGCTGAAACGGTAAAGTCCCTGTTGAGTTCTGTACCCAACTGTAACTTCTCAAAAAACATTAAGAGATTAGAAAATAAAACTGACAAAGACAAATGAAGAGGTACAGGTGTGTAGCAAGGACAAAGCATTCCAGGTCAGCAAGTAGTTTCTGAATCGAGGTCGTTTAAAAAGTATTCAGGTGCAGGTCCTTCAGAAAGTGCTAGTGCCATGCCACGATCCTCTCCCAGTCAAAATTACAATTTTAGTTCAATGTTAAGTTGTTTAAAAAAAAAAATCTTAGCTTTAAAGTACTACGGTATACTGCAAATATTCTAGTTATTTAACTTGAATAGTTAAAGCACTGAAAATGTCAATATTACAATATACTATACATGTACTACATAATAGAATATTCACATTTTACTACCACTTAGTCCATGCTCATCTTTGATACTATGAAGGTAATGTCATATTTTGCTTAGTATATATTTCGGTATACAATATTTCATGTTAATTAAATGTTGTTTATCTAAATACCCGTATGTATAAAAATATTTTATTTTTTATATTTTTTTATTTATACATACAAAAGTTCTTACATTCTCGTACAACCACTAGCACGCATAGTGTTTCGGGCAAGTCCTTAATCCTAATTTTCACACACACACACACACACACACACACACACCAGGAAGCAGCCCATAGCAGCTGTCTAACTCCCAGGTACTGTACCTATTTACTGCTAGGCGAACATATTATTTGCTTTATAAAGATTTTTCCCCATTTGTTGAATGCCTGAAAAGATAAAATATCTTAATCTGGATTCTTCTAAAATTTTGACCATGTCAGGATTAATTGACCATGTCAGGATTAATTAACATCTGTAATTAGGTTTTTTGTGCTTGTACTACACAATATAGAAATTGGCTGAATGAAAGAGTTTGCTCACACTAATTATTTCACACCAGTGAGAAAGAGAATTATCAGGGGAAAGCTCGGTCATTATTATTATATGGCACTTAGAAGGGATCAGGATACTCACTCTTAATTTGTGGGGTTGATTAACCTTGACTAAAATAGCATTTATTTGCTTATTTTTTTAAGAATGTGTTTTCTGTAACATACTAAAGGGCTTAATGTAAGTTTGTAAGTACAAACATACATTAAGTAGTTTAAGTACCCATACACATGAACATAAGCATACACATACAATCCTTCACACTTTTACTATCGTAATATTTATGCATTTTGTGTAATGTTTGCGTGTTGTGTGTGCAACAACAATTTAAGCTAGTGATGGATCCCAAAGCTGCTAGACACACGGTCTAGTTGTCTTGTGGTCTTATTGGTGTGCAGCACAATCTTCTCTTCTTACTACAGTTTATAATAATGGATATAAACTTTGTGGCAAGTACAGTAGAATGTTGTCATGATTACTGGACACTTCAATGAGGCAAATTTGTGTTGTTTTGGTATTTGAGTTGTAGAATACTTGAGAGATGGCTAGTTCTTTTTCTGCTAAAATATTGTCCAGTAGTTTTCTTGATCTTGAAAGAGGTTTCATTAATATTAAAACAAATGTTTGTCAGTGTTTGCAACCCATATAATGTGAGGTGTGCATTTTTCTCAATTTCCTCTAGTATATTCTTGATACTACAGTTTACTGTACCTGTTTATGAATTTCCCAGAATTTAAGTACAGTACAGATATTGATGATAATATCGAGCATGTAAAGCGAGTGAGCATTAATGGTTGGTTTTATGCAAAATTTGTTTTCAGTCTTATTGTCAATTTCATTTGTTTGAATATACACAGAGCACAGACATAAATTGACTAGACCAAACTAGTATTGTAACCTTAATGTAGAAAATAATAAAAATGACAAGTTGTATTTAGAAGTGGTAAAAGTGGTCACTGGATCTACAGCACAGTATTGTCACTTTCTGTTCTTAACGCAAAGGTTCACTTTGACATTCTTTCATTACCTTTATTGTTGTAATTTTTATAACATGATGAAAAGTTAAAAATGATCTCTGGAGATTACTTCATGTCTTTTATTACAGTTGATGATTCACAGTGGAATGACAAACAATGAGAAGGATTACGAGATCTGTATGCGTGCAGAAAATGTATTTTTGCCAGCGACCGGCCACTTTGGTGTATCTGCTGCAACAGGCGGATTAGCTGACGATCATGATGTAAGTCTAATTACAGTATTGTGACTGCTTTAGGTCTTCACTACATCTTTATTACATGTTGTAGTGAAATACAATGTATTTCACTACATATTTGGCTTCTATCTTGTACTCCTTCACACACAATTTTCCTTATTCTGTTGCTTTCTTTGCTGTATTTCTTTCTTATCTTTAATATGGTAGATTTTGTTGAACACTGAAGGAAAGTTTTCCTCAGTTTTTATTCATATTTCAATTATAATAATCTGAAGTGTGTTTATTACTTCACTGCTAATGCATTTGCAATCCATTAAATAAATTAAATATTCTCAATGTGTATGCATGTTAAAAATTGTATACGAAATTCAGACGAGTGCTTACTGATGGGTCTGATCTTTTAGGTATTGAAATTCCTAGTGTCTTCCATGCGATCCCCCGAAGAAATGGCACTCTTGCAAACCAATCAGGAGGATGAGGAGAAGTTCCGGCAGGAGTTCCAGGAGTACCAAGAGAAGACAAAGAAGGCACGTGATGAGTGAGTGTTTCTAGATGTTTGTTGTATTAGTTTGCTAGAAGTGGTAAACTTCTCACAAAGTGGAGAAGCCAGTGGAGATACTATGGTGGCAGGAAAGACCTTTCACCATCTCCAATGACTTACATTGCCACTAATGATGGCATCTGTTTTGCCATTTTCTTGCCTGATAATTTCTACAGTCTCAAGTTGTTGTTCCTGTGTTTTCTGTTAGGTATGCCTTCAACGTTTGAAAATACTACAGCAAGTACATGGGTCCACCTACTTGACTAGAATTTAGAGGGCTTGAGCCAGAATCGTGTTGAATATGATAGATTTTGCCAGAAATGTTTTGAGATATAATATCAATAAGCAAGACTATAGGAGTTAGAAAAAGTCACGGGCAGCCGTTTGAATTGCACAGAAATAACAGTGGGCTTTTTTCTTTATCATTTGAGGTCATTACGTCACTGTGGTGATGGGATAAATGGCCATCTGTTGGCATCCCACCTTGGAGGTTGTACACAAGGTGATAAGATAAAGTTTTTTAAGTATTTTCAGTCTGCTTTTTGTCGTACTGTACTGTATATATGTATACTGTAAATTAAGTTAATCTTTGCTAATGGAAGATTATCAAACCTACCTTGTTTATGTAGTATAACAATTGTAGCCATGGAAAAGTATCTCCTTTTGACTGGAGAAAAACACATTTAAGTATTATTATTCCATCACTGAAAATTATTCAGTGTTAAAGATTCGGCTCTACACCAGCTTACTTACCAAGTCCTCTATAATTTAGTCCTGTATTTGCTGTTATTACCTCATTGCCCATGTATGTGGATTGGATGACACTTGCTGGGAAAGAAATGAAAACACAAAAAATTGGTAAAGATGAATGACTATTCAAGAAAAAAAGAAGAATTGAAGAATTAAATCTCTTCATAATAACTTGAACAGTTATGAACATCTTGGAAAATTATTACCCACAACTTGACTAAAATATATACTGTACAGCTACAATATTTCTAGTGTCATAAATACTGTATACATAAATACATAAATAAACTATATAAATGTGCAAATATTATATACCTTGAGGGTATATAATACTTCATGTAAACAGTATTGTCACCACTAAAATGTTGAATATTATTCTCCCAAACTATTTCCACCGCCCTGTTCTTGCATCAGTTACACACTTGTTAAAGATTGACAAGATTTATTTTTGGCATGATTTTCAATCTGTTATGCCATACTGTTAGTGAGAAGAAGAATGATCTTTCAGAATAGAATAGGACTTTAATGATCATGATGAATATCCTAACAGTACCTTGATTGTGCTTTCAGTTCTGTAGTAGTAATATTGGCTAGCATTATTAACATTGTACTGATCCAAAAAGCAAAATATCTTTGGGAGGGAGCTTTAGTGTCAGCTGTTGGCAATCCTGAGGTTATTTTACTGTTACCTCGTATCAACCTACCCGGGCTTTGCGCCCTGGAGAGGCCACTCCAGACCAACAACTAGAGTGCAACACCATAGTCTCCCAAGACTGATGGATGCCTATTACTACCTTCTGTGATATCTGCACTATTTTCAGGTACATTGCTCTGAATCCTGATGCTGTACAGAAAGACAAAGAGGAGGAGTATGAGAGCTGGGAACAGAGGGAATTGCGTCAGATATTCCATGGACAAAGTCAGGTGAATTGCATTTCATAGCTTATTGTTTTGGCTCTCCCACAAGCACATGACCGTCTTCGGTCAGATTACAAATGTGTTGAACAGTTTTGTTTATTTTAGCAAACAAAATACCTTGAGGCTAGATCATTGAAGCATTTGTTGTTTGCTTGTTTAAAAAATATAAATATATGAGAAGTGCTTCTCTTGAGAATTTTGAAGAAAACCGAGAAACTAGAAAACTTTGAAAGAAAAATTAATTTTATAGCTTTTATAAAATTTAAAATAAATTTTCATGATGGAAGCCAGCTAGCTTGCACCCAGATTTGCCTTAATATATTTATTATGTTCACCTTCTTGTACTACAGTAGTCTAATTTCAGATACACGAGATTATAAGACAACTACACTCAAAAATGGACGAGATTATTGGTCGGCAAGAACGAACACTTGGTTTAGTTTCTGCAGTTCACTCAGGAATGGGTATGTTGGTCAATATTTAGTCATTTCTAAACCTTCGATGATATTGGAAATGTAAACTGCTGTTGAATTCAAATACAGTATTCTACCCTCTATATTACAGGGGTTTAATACAAACCTTGGTCACCCATTTTTAATACAGAATCCCTAGAATGTGCACTCTTAGGTCATTGATAAGTGCTAGGCAGGATTTCATCTTTCATTTGTACTTTTAAATTGGTATTCAGTAGGACACTTTGAATTCGATTGTAGCTCCATTCGATGGAGCTGCTCGTCACTTGAGGTTCCATTGTATAGTTCTTTACATTTGATGGTCAAAAATATAATTTCCTTAAAATGACTTATAAAAAGCATGCTCCATCACACTCTTGTTGAATATATTTTGTGTTGTTGTTTGAACTTGTTCAGAGTATTCCAGGCAATTATTATTTATTTTTCCATGAAGTGGTTCAGATGTTTTTTTTTTTTTTTTATTATTATTATTATTTTTATACACTGGTGGCAGAGTACCTGTACCATAGGTTGGCTTGGTACCCTAAGCATAATTTTGGCTTGGCCTTTATGTTGAATTAATAACAACCTCTTTAGTTATATTTTGTTAACATTTATTTGATAATAGATAAATTGGATAATTGTCTTTTGAACTTGTCTCACATGCTCTATTTAGGAACATAGCATATACATAACTTCAGTAAGGAATAACTAGGTGGAATCATTATAAGAGTTGGTAAGGTAATTATTCCAAGAAAATAATCAGCCAATATGACTATAGATTGACTGATAAAGATTAAGCCACCCAAGAGGTGGCACGGGCATGAATAGCCCGTAACACTTTATAGCATATGGAAGGGACATGAGAATAAGGTAGGAACTGGGGTGTGAGGAAGGGTCAAAGGGTTGAAGGAATGGTGCCCAGCCACTTAGAGCATCAACAAGTGAACACCAACCGGCAAAATGTCACTGTACCGACCAGTCCAAGCGATGGAGGTAAGAGGATGTGGATATGTGACATTTGTTTGTTAATTGTAAAGACAATTCAGGAGAAGCATTTTTCACTTTCTTGCACGAAGTGGTAGTGCTGCTTTAAATCTTTTACTAAAATGTGACAGTGCTGATTTCTAGTTATACTCCACTATGTATGGAGCATAATAATGGAAAAATAAATGGTAAATATTGCCAGGAACTCTGAGTTCAAACAATATTTAAACATGAAATGTATTCAACGAGAGCATGATGGAGCATAATTCTTATTAAATCATTTTAAGAAAATTATATTTTTGACCATCAGTGTAAAGAACTACTGTATATTTTATTTCCACTTTTTGGAAAAGATGTACAATTCTTAAATCCATTAAGTGCTGGTACACAGTATTTAACCACTTGGGCTGGACGGTAGAGTAACGATCTCACTTCATGCAGGTCGGCGTTCAGTCTCCGACCATCCAAGAAGTTGGACACCATTCCTTACCCCCCCTTCCCATCCCTAATCCTTATCCTGACCCCTCCCTCCCAAGTGCTATAGTGGTAATGGCTTGACACTTTTCTTGATAGTTCCCTTCCATTACAGAGAGTGAAGTATAATGTGAATAGAATTTTTTTTACTATTTTTATATTTGTTCCTGAACATTATTGCTATACACTATTTCCTAACTCTCATCCCAGTTAGGAAATTGGGGGATTGGGTAATGGTGTTTTTTTGCATTTTTCAGGAGGACAAGTTATGCCTGCAGGTCAAGTTCCTCCAGCACCTGTTGCTGCCCTACCAGGAGACACCATCCGTCGACATGAAGTTGATAACATTCTCAACAATCAGAGAGATATTGTGCAAACAGCAAGGGATATCAAGTATGTATGAATTGCTGAGAATAGTAGCTGTTGGTCTTAGTTAGCTTTAATACTTCTAGAAGAAAAAAAATCTTGAATTCTCAAGTTAAACTTTCAGGACTAAATGCAAATGATTTTTTGTATAATAGGATTAAAAAAGCTTTCTCACAAATGTCATTCATATTTGTCTAGTAAAACCACATCAAAATAGTATTTTTTTGTAGTTAAACATTTTAAGTTTGGTCAACAGAAGGGCTTCATAAACTTTTTATAATAAATTTATAGCCAGTGATTTCATAAAGTGCTGTGTGAAATAGGAACCAGGCAACCCTTGCTCTGTGCAGTATTGGAAAATGTGAATTTTGGGGTTCATGGTTATTCACTTTTATATTAGATTTAGATGTACATAGGTCACTAAGGTTTTAGTTAGGATTATTAGACAATCCACAGGTCTGTTGGATTGCAAGCATTATGTCAGGTTCTCACATGCCACATATCTTGTTAACAACAATATTCTTGCATCTACATCATTGTACCACATTCATTTTGGAGCAAATTATGTACAGTAGTAGTGGCTAAGTAGAGTGAGCATTAAATGTGTTCAACTAGGTGTTTTATTGAATGTAGAATGGAAAGTTTACCCTTGGAAGTCTACATACATAAGTTTTACAGGAATAGTTTCCAAATCCCCCACTCCAATTCACAAATAAAAGGGTTTCCTGTAAATGGCCAAGATTCTGCTAGGGAATGGTTATGAGTCAACATTTAATCCCTGAACTGCTAGGAGGCATGTGTTACAATACATATTTACATTCTTTGTGGCAGGAACTTTGTTAATGAAATCCACCAGAAAAGCAACCTGCTCTTGAGCAACAGTCAGAAGCCACAAGGGTCGGTGCAGCCGGTGGGCTTTGATCTACACGTTACCCTTAACGAGATGAAGGAAGGGCTCAATACTGTGAAGGTACGCAGTCTTATAAACTTGAATAAATCTTGGACTGAATGTGTTGCTGATGCTCACTTTGTGATAATTAGACATGGGAGTATTGGGGTGACATAAATGCACTACTGTTATTACCTAAGACGACTTAAAAGCATTTTTAGTTTTCATATAGTTTTATTGTCGGACTAAACTATAATGGCAGTAATTACATGATGGTTGTTTCAGGGAAATGTTTAATTTCCAAACTGATTGAATGTAGTAGTCACTGCATCCTAATTTTTCTTCATTTTATTAGATTAAATCTATGCAGCATAAGAAATGCTACTAAATTCTTAGTCATTATACCAAATACAAATTATATTGGATTGTTATGCAGTATCATTGGATTAATTGAAATTGATTTTATCTACAATGGTACATCATAAATCAAGCAATGCTATAGTGTGTGTGTGTGTTTTTAACATAGATGGATAATACATTTTTAAATTTAAAATTGCTGATTTTATAATTGTGATCTATTATGTAAGAACAGAACTTATTTTTTTTTCTCAGCGGGACTTAGGTACAGCGACTCAGAGGTTGTCTTCGGCACCAGGAGGCGGTGCATGTCCTACAGTCAGCTGTGTATCAACAGGCTTGTTCATTGCTTTCATGGTGATCCAGTTGGTTCTACTCATTGGTTACATTATGTACAGGTGAGTGATGCTTTGGAAAAAGTCTGCATTGAATAGAAT